ATGAAGAATATTTATACATTTATACACGAAAAAAACTATTTGGTATATTTTGAGCAGTTCTAGTTGCTTTTGCATCAATTAGTACATCTGTTTCATATAATCCGTCAGTCTGAATACCCTTATCCACTGATTTAGTTCCATTTATCTTTTTCTTATTATTTTGGAAATCATCAAATTTAAATTTATAATCTAACTGTAATATTTCTTTTAACAATAATCGACAAGTATGTTGAACCAAAATTTTTCGAGTAGGTACCCTTACAGAAAAACCCATATCAATATATCTAACATTCAAAAATTTCGAACACAAGAATTTTAGCTCGTAATTCAATTTTGATTCCCTAAGATGATTATTGTACGGTATTTCACAAAACAGAATGTTAGTGTTCCTAGAACAATATAAAAAATTACTAACAGATGTCTTAAAAATATATGGAGATTTGTCGTTCGTACCACCTAATATAACCACATAATCATTTCTAGTTAGAGAATTTATTTTATTTCGCTCACACAGTAGCACGTCTTGTAATGTCGCTCCAGATTTCCAAAAGCAACTAACTTGGAATTGTTCTCCAATCAAGCGTTGTAATAATTTCTGAGTGTGGCGTCCCTGATCATCAGCAATAACTATTACTTGATGTTTCGCCTCACCACTAATACCGATACCAAGTGAGTGTTTCTGTGAAGTTTCTACATCATGAGTATTCTCCGCCTCAATTTTCTTGTTGCTATTTACAACTAGTGAACTCTCCGTTTGAACTGTTATACTTTCTACATTACCTTTTGTATTGATTTCTATACCGTCTGAATCCATTTTTTCCATTTTTCGATCCATTTCGTGTACCATGTCGCAACGCGAGGTATTACATAGCAGCGACGAGGTTTTTGTCGATTGACCATCGTCTGTTATACGTTCATCATTGGGAATTTGCTGGGTGGTCCTTTTAGTTGGTGTAGACGAATTGCCGTTATGTTTTTTTAATCGGCTGGGTGTTGTACGTATACTACCTGATAAATAAATATTTTTATATGTCTCGGCAACTTTCATACTTTTGCTCAGATCAGTCTTTAAGCGGAAGTTCTCGGAATTTAGATTGTCAATTTCTTGGTGTGCACTGGCCAATTGGTTTGTGAGAATAGTTATTTTTTCATTGAGTTCAATTATTGCCTGGTTTTCATTAATTGATGTGTTCGGGAGGCTCATCATAGTAGTGTCAAAAACAGGCGATTCAGCTCTTGAAACGTCAATAAGGGAGCTGGCACGTCGTGGCCTTCGATACGTGATGTTGCGGTCAAGATCCATGGCGAGAATTACCTTCAAATGCCTGCAGATTCGGAGCACCAATAGTCGATACGTTAATTATGTGATGAATTAATAATTTTATGAAATTTTGTCAATTACCCTTATTTTGGGTTTGTTTTTTTGTACTTGTAACACCGATCATAGGTTGGCAATACATATGTTTGACAGTTGTTTGTTTTCGTTTCGTGTAAAGGAGAGATTTTATTTATAAGTTCATTCAATTATCATTGTCTTTGCTATTGTTGAGGGTCCAAAGGTCATTTGAAAATTAATCAAACTGTAACGGTTATTTATAATCGCAATAAACAAGTTTTACTGTTTTACAAGAGTCACTTTTTCTACAATCACTTTTTGATTTATTTATTTTTAACTATATTCATGTTGACACTACGGTATAGGTCGAAAAAGTCATTTTTTCAATGTTTTGTTTTTACAATAAACATATTTTAATATTATTTGTATATTATCACAATTGTTTGACGCACAGTTTTGCAAACGTTTTATGAGGTTTATTGAGTTGTTACACAGCGATGAAACACAAAATGAGTTCACTTGCACATGAATATGTAAAATTAAAACTTTAAATATACGCATTTAATGTTTACATTTTGTTGCCATAGACAACTCTACTCTACAACTATTTCTATCGGAGATTGCCTTGCGATCAGATGTGTTCGTCCTGTACATCTGCCGAGAGAGAAAAAGATCATTTAGTTAGTTATGTATATCATTTCGTCTTCTATATGCGGTATTTCATAACCATAGCCTTTACCAAATAAAAATAATACCAAAATATACCACATCAATACTAACAAAATATACAAATCCATCTCTACTAAGTTTACAAAATACCACATATATCAAACACTTACATTACCCATAATTGTGTCAAAATCTACACATTACCTAAAGGTTTAATACATAAAGCTCAGAAAGAAAAGCAAAAAAAAGAAACATCTAAGCGATATTAGAATACATTTTCATTTCAGCAATAAGTTTTGAAGTTTGGAAATTCGGAACAACTTTGCAAGGTAAAGTTCTGATGGGGGAAGAAAAGATCGATCACTGCGAAATAGATTTGTCCATAAGATTTTCTATTATCTTACCAAAACAAAAAGATAACAAAGTGACGTCGGAGAAACTAATTTTTCCTTGTTTTGACTCAATGATTCTATTTGAAAACGTGTTCAAAGAATGTTTACCGCAATTGTTTAGATCGAACACAAATATAAGCGTAATGTACATAAAATAAAACAATCATATCAAACATTCATGCAAGGAAATCTCGTTAGTCAGCCGTTACCAACACCTACCATCAGTTACCTACTATATACATATTGAATGCCTAATGTAACACATTAACTGAGGTACGGGAGTGTAAATCAATGGAGTGCTGTGTGTAAATCATTAGTGTTTGATAAGGGTGCTCGCCTCAGCGATAGAAGGTATAAAATATTCGTAAGATATAACTTTGTATTAAATTCGGCCAGTGCTCAATATCTACTAGGAACTGGACGTTTATAAAGCACAAACAAGCACCAAGTATAGGGGGCCGGAGGTCCGGAGTGCAGTGTGAGTGTGGGTGACATGCAGCTCGGGGTGACAACAGGGGGAACTACGGGCTCGGACAACATCTTCAAACTACTTACGTAACTACAAGGAGCTGGGGCACACGTGGAGCGCAACATACCTACAATACGACGCCTCACTTACTTCTCCTTAAATGGTCTTTTTCTCCCCATTACAGACTACCGTGTCACCTAACGAGTTCTTCTCAACCATACCACCGAACAGTGTCATACCAGAACATTAATTTAACTTAACAAGTGCATCATAACGAGATTTGACTGCATGAATTCCGGCTACGCTTCCGCAATAAAATTTCAACATGAGAACAAAATATAAAATGGACATTAATATTAATTCTTATTCTCTATTAAAACAACAATAAATTTTACATAAATAAATGTAATCTGTCAACGTTCATATGAGGCTAAAGCTATCTAGATATTTGTGCCAATAAAATAGAAACGTGTCAATTTGAAGAAATTCGTGTAAATTCATGTATTTTTTTTGTTAATATTTAAAAATGCATAAAGAACAATCGTTGTAGCGTTACTTAATGCTAAGGGTTCTCGTCTGTAGAGACACAAATTAACACTAGTAACTATAGCCTAATGGATTAGAGAGTATCGTAGCTACAGTTCGTAACTTACAATTGAGTATGTAGAAACAATTTATGAGTAGATCTCATAATGCTAAGAGTACCACTAAATCAGTCTAGTAGGAATAGTAGATAGGTTGTTTAGATGTAAAGACACGTGCAATCGTACAGTACGTGTGAGGTAGAGAGGAGCTAAGGCCGCGGTCTGAACTATATTCAAAGTATTCTTTTACATTTTCCATGTTTTAAAGTCATTATTTCAAATTCTATTATCATAATTTTCTTCAGTGTCAGATTTAAGTAACACTTTTGAAACAGACGGCGGCCTAACGTTGTTTAATATTAATTTCAAATATGTTCGCACGTATATAAATCTAATTACGAAGCAGTTTTCAACTGAAACTTATGTATGCGAACATATTTGTAATATCGGTGGCGGGACAATATCGGGGATTTTACGCTTAATTAGATAAACATTTAATTGTGATAACAATGAATTTGTAAATCGTACATTACAGAATGCTCAATCACTGATTCTTACGTCACATTTCTAGGGGGGGGGAGTGGGGGGAGATTTATAACGCTCACAAAACTTGCCTGAAGTTTACAACACCTGGAAGGGGGATACTTTGACCGTTGAGTTGAGATAGAAATTTCACTCGCATTTCATATTTACACTGTACTTAATAAATCTGCACCTATGCGAAAATGATTCGATCGCTAAGAGTTTCCTTCTTGTTTACGTAAGTAATATATTATTATACTCCGAAAGTGTATCGATATTCGATTTGAGATGACGTGTGACTGAATTGAATTATGTTCTAACAGGCTACGTACCTAATGGATCAAAGTTGTTAGATAAGTCATTACTTGATTAGACTTACACGTGCGTGCTTATCAGCAATGAAGGTAGACTTAGGTACACAAACATTGGAGATTAGGTGACCTAACATTTATTGTGTTTGATGATACTGTGGGGTTTTTGGACATGTATCAATTTGTGAGCATTATGGTAACGTAAAAGTCCTCCACTTTTGGGCGTGTAAGTGTGTCATGACACTTCGGGTTGCGGAAAACGTATCAATTAAGCGTGAGGAGGTGACTCGCTCGAGTCGCTAGAACTGTCGAGTCTCGTCTAACGACCAGGCCAGTAATGAGGGTCGAGTGCGATTCTATCGGTAATCGACTAATCTCATCGCCGTCCGATTGTGGGAGAACAATTTACTAAAATGAGCGTTTCCTATGAAATTGAATTAATCGATTCGAATTGTTACTTCCCGACGTACAGTTTAATAGGCCACCTTTGTTTTATAGGCCCTTATTCTCGTAACTATAGACTAAAGATGGTCTTAGTGGGATTAGGAGGTAGGATTTTTGTTGAGTTCAGGGTAAATCTTAATATAATTTAAGTTTATCAAAAATAAGAAACATTAGAAAATAGGTACAGGTACAAGTTTTGACATGTTTTGTTCTGTAATAGTTAGAGGGCTGAAACAAACATTAGAGAGAGCTGTGAAGGTCGGGTGAGTGAGGTTAGAGGTAGCTCTCAGAGAAGTCAAGGTCAGAGACGGAGGCGCGCGAGGAGCGCGTGTAGTTGGTGGAGGTGCCATAGTCGGAGGTGGCGGTGGCAAGGTCGGCCAGCACGCCGCCGCCGCCCGTACCTTGCGTCACGCCCGCCGCCGCCGCCTCTCGCTCCGCCAGCTTCTGTTTCAGCACCCGAATCCGCTCCTCCTTCTGCAACAACACACCTCTTTAACAACTAATCTTTTGGGAACGTGGATCCACGCGAGAAATCTGCCTATAGTTGTTAGTAATCAGATATTCGCTACTTTAAATACGTGGGTCGGACTCTTCATCTACCAGTTTTCTAAGATTCTGTGTTTCAATATTCAGTTCCATGAAAAGTCAGCTAAGATTTTGAAACCACTAGACTAACGAAGATACCTACAAGTTTTAATATAATTTCTGTGAAACTTATGCAAGTACTGTAATTTCGCAGCACGATAAACAATTCTACTGAAACGGTTTCTGTTTATTGGTGCGAAATAAATGTAAAATGACTCCGAGTTTGTATTCTGTAAGAGCAGATGCTGTGCATCTTTCAATTTGCACAGAATTCTTGTTAAACAATATTTTTATTGTTATTATACAAATAATAAGATGTCTTTGTAACATATTTCTTTGTTTGTTACATTAAAATTAATTAGATAGATATACTGAATAAGTATCAGCTGAACTTTGCGGTTGAGTATGATATAGGTGCAATTTACCTATGTACATATTTAGTTATTGAGATGAGATAATGATGTTTGAGACTGCCTCGTTGGCGGAGTTACTGGACATTCGGGTCGAGTGGGGTTCGATTCCCGGGTAGGAAAAGGTATTATTGGGTTTATTTAAAAAAAATCTCATGGCAATCAATCATATGGCAATAGACTCACCTTCTATTACATGGGACTCATAACATTAATAGTGATAAGTGGGTGTTATATTGTACAGTGGCATTAAGTACCGTAATGTGCACCTCTTACCTCTTCGGGGATAAAAGGCGTAATGTTTATGTTATATTTACGTAGAGGGTATGGATTTAGAATTCTAGATTCTGTTATTTCAACAGCTTGTCTTAAGAACCTAACTTAGGTTCCCGTGGGAGCTATCACAGCACCTAGACAAAACACAGCCAATGAAAGGAGCGCAAAATTAACATAGCAAATTCTAAACGAAATTTTAAAGGTCAACGTACGATTAATATTCGTTGAACATTTTAGTTTATTGTCTTTGTCTCCTCTGAATTAGAAACTAGTTGAATCATTAATTATCGTCTCTGTTTACTGAGATACTAAGCGCTTATCAATAATGTTCTTCAAGATTAGAGTTATCTGATAGCGCGGTAACAGAATTCTAATTAAAATTGTAAATAGCTGGAAATTAATGAAATTGTTTGATTTTACTATCAATTGAGTTATAAATTGAGTGGTTATTGAAGTGTTACTACTGTTTGTATTGAGATAATATTGGAAAGAAAAACATAACATAACGCCTTTTATCCCCGGAGGGGTAGACAGAGGTGCACATTATGCCACTGTACAATGTAACAACCAATGTTTACTATTTATGTTATGAGTCCCATGTAATAGGGGGTGAGCCTATTGCCATATACCGGGCACAATTCCAGACTACGTGCTACTACTGAGATTTTTTAAAACCCATTAATACTTTGCCCGACCGTCGCGATTGCGACCACTCGGCCAACGAGGCAGTGTTAAAGTATTTTCTTGAAAGAAACAAATGAAGACGGGTAATCCATAGATTTTGTTCTCCATATTTTTTCATAAGTAGAAAGGTACGGGACAGGATCATGACTCTAATACTATATTAAAATTCTTAGGTAACACCTGACATCTTTGTGTTTAAAACAGTATCCTGTTTTGTATGAAATAGTAGGCCAATGAGCAGACCCGAGCGTAAGGCGCGTCGCGTTCCGCGCGCGCCTCAAGGAGCCGTCAGACCACCACAGATGGGGCCCAACAGCCGCGGAAGAATTTAAGGGGTGCCGAGGCTCCGGCTCGAAGTGCAGGAGTAGGAACGGGGTGGTTTTTAGACAGTAAGAGTCTAACACTCCCTCTCGCCTCACCCGGGCGGGAGAAGACATTGGATGATTTTCCCTCTCAAAAAAAGTCAAATGAGCAGACGCATCACCTGATGGTAAGCGACCAGCGCCGCCCATGGATAACACCAGAGGAGTCACAGGTGCGTTGCTGGCTTTTTAAAAAGGAATACGCTCTTTTGATTCCTAATAAAGAAAGATAATTAACCTTATTATTTAACGGTTTGAATCTAAATATAAAGCAATAATCCATATATATAAAGATGTATCCCTTTCCCTTGGTCACGGCATCAAGCGTGAATGGTTGGACCGATTTCACTAATTATTTTTTTGTTGTATTTTTTTTATTAGGAGAAGGTTCTTAAGACAGAAAAGTCCTGAAAATCCTACGGGAGATAATGGGATTGCGCGTCCGAAATCGCGGGTAGAAGCTAGTAATGATATAAACCAAAAAAGTAGCAAAATACAATTTGATCAATCGTGAATTTTTTACACTAAACAGACAGACAGAAAAAATAATCAATATACCTCTACATATTTTGATTTAGAAGTATCGATTTTACTTACGTAACATTTATGAGTAGTATTTTCATATCTAAAGGCGTGTCCATAGTAAAGTTTAAAATGTGATATTCATAATATAATAGTTGCAATTCTACGAAGCAACAAGAGTAAATCTCATTTAATTCTGAACTACTGGAGGTGTAACGACGTCTGATGCAAATAGTTTCTGAGTACTGAGTAGCTAAAATAGTTTATATTGCCAATGCTTTGCTGTTAATACCTGGTACTGAAGTATGAAAGGGTGTGTTAATGTTCTACTATATCTATGCATGAAATTGCAAGTAAATATAACTATTTACACATAACATCACGCCTTTAACCCCGAAGGGTTAGGCAGGGGTGCACATTATGCCACTGTACAATGTAACTCCTACTTTTCACTATTTATGTTATGAGTCCCATGTAATAAGGGGTGAGCCTATTGCCATATACCGGGCACAATTCCAGACTCCGTGCTACTACTGAGATTTTTTTAAAACCCAGTAATACTTTGCCCGACCCGGGAATCGAACCCGAGTCGGCCAACGAGCGTCGTTGGCCGAGTCGTTGGTCGTTGTATAACTATTTACTACATAGATATTTGTAGTTCTATGTAACATATAAAAACTTACAGGAGTATAAGGAGTCTTTCTTGAGCATGCGTTGTCATTATCGCTTCTGCCTTCTTCTCACGAAAAGAAATCTTAGCAAAAATGTTGGGCTTTGTAGAAAATGATCTCACAAGGTGTCATAATAGAGGTCACATGTTTGTTTATGGGATTTTTATAAGGTATATAAAAAATCGAGCAGTCGGATCACTTGATGGTAAGCAATCGGCGCCGCCCATAGCCACCCGAAACACCTGCGGCGTTGCAAGTAAGTGACCGGCCTTTTGGGGATTAGGAATTTGAGGATTGTTGGGGACTCTGGGATTGGGGAGATTGGGGAGGAGGGGGGTAATTTGGCCTCCGGTAACCTCACTCACACGACGAAACACAAGGCAAGCGTTGTTTCACGTCGGTGTTCTGCTCGGCCGTGGTATCACTCCGGTCGAGCCCGCCCATTCGTGCCGAAGCATGACTCTCCCACACTTAATATTAACGAATGAACAAAGAACACTGATGAATGGATCACAAATTGTGTAACATTATGCTTTCATATTCAATTAATGTTACTATGTTTGCATTTTAAGCCACACAATTAGATTTATTTGATAGTAATATCGCTAATGACTTTCCAATGGCATAATTTGTTGAATTCAAATGACGTAAAAGATAAATTTGTGCTGTAAATATCAATTTCATTTTGTAGGGAGATCAATTATGATAACTATTATGTGTGTAGTCCAATCTGCGGTTATATTTATTTAGCTTTCTAAAATTGATTGTGTTTGCTTGCGTACATGTAAATTAGTGTTACCAAATTAACTAATACTCGCGGGTTATTCACTTGAATATACTGAGAAAAGCAGTAGGCTGTGCGACATCGCCGCGATCGTGGTGTTTCGAAACTAGTACTAGTACTTTTCTCAGTATATTCACGCGATTTTTAGTTAATTTAGTATATCTCACGATAGTTATTATAAAAACATAGTGTTACCAAACTTGATTTCATTTATAGCATTCAAATATGTTATAGGGTTATTAATAAAAAAAGTGACCACTAAAACTGAATTGAATAGAACTTGATATTACTACTACAACTTGAAGTAATACAGTCAGAAGTTTCTGCATGTTTTTAGGAATCAAAATCATTTATGCAATGACTGTATACGAAATTTTCCACTATAAAAGAAGATTCATCATCAACATCTTCCAATGGAAACAAAACTAAAAAACTATTGTCGATTTCGGAACAAAAATGTGGGATTTTTTCGTTCACACTGAGGTAGTGCCAATCAGTTATGTTTTCCCTCCGTATCTTCATGAATACGCATCGGTTTTTGTTTCGCTCCAAACGTGATATGTGGAGTAAAATAGCTCGCACAACTTTACGTAGACGGCAAAAAAATGTATTGCGGGCTTAAGGCTCATTTTCGACAACTATGAGATTCTTTATTCAATGAACAGGTACTTTATTTAACGAACTATGTATCCTACCTTCAGACGAGATGAATTAAACATCGCACACCTTTAGGTGCTAGAGATAAAGTGGACTTTATATTTTTTGGTGTAAGTGTCAAGATTAAGCCTTTTCCTCAGAGAGGAACCTCTCGTTTTGAATAATGAGTCTGTGAAAGTAATTCATTATGGATAGGAGGGACTTTGAACGATGTAAGAAGACTTTGTTCGGTGTTTAACGTTTAATTGAAAGCAGTCACATAGATAGTAAACATTGTCAGTAGTAGCACGGAGCCTGGAATTGTGCCCGGTATATGGCAATAGGCTCACCCCCTTTACATGGGACTCATAACATAAATAGTGAAAAGTGGGTGTAACAGGTGTAGTGACATTAATGTGCACTGCTCCTTTGCCTACCCCTTTGAGGATAAAAGAGGTACCAACTCATTATTTATTTTTATCTATACACATCAATAAAATTGGAGTGTCTGTTTGTAATATTACAATAACCACTTTTTACTACA